AAAAGAAATATCGTATAAAAGAAATGTAAAAGTAAGAATAATAATGATAACGATGATAAATTAAATGGCAATAGAAGAGAAAAGTTAGAAATAATATATTCGCATCGGCCATGGAATCGATCCGTTCGGCAGCTTGTGGTTACGATGAACGGATGAGCATTGAAGATGTTATTATCTTGTTACGCACCGAGTGTTACGATTTTTAACGCTTTGCCTGGCAGAAGTGTATTAACAGGTTTCTAATGATGATGCCTTATCCAGAAGGAACTCCATACGTTTCTATCAAATAACCCTTAAAGTAATGATTAGATAGTGATCTTTAAGATAAATAAAAATGGTCCGCATCGACGGGAGGAAATAGATGCAAAATGCTAATTGATTTCTTCTTTTAATCCCGTTGCTACGTAATATCGAGTCGGACTCGCGATGAAGATTTATTAACTGATTGAACGCGAGCATTATTAATTTCTCGTAAATTGAAATAAAACGTTATTTTACCGTTGTTAATATGTCAGTGGTGAAGTAAATATAGGATATGCAGTGATTATGAAGTTTCGTTTCCTTTTAGGAAGTTATAATAATTCGTTACAATTATGGATAATTTTGAATATTCTTTTCTGTTGCGAACACCGTCGTTTCACGGCAAATTGAATACTGTTTTCTATCAAAATGTTGTTTCTTTCTCGTGTTAGCAAGAAGAGTTGAAGCGTAAAAGCTTCAAACATTCTCGTGTTAGTAACATAAATATCGGACTGAATTTTTTAATTAATTCCTACTTCTTAATAAATTTCGTTAATTCCTTCGATTTATCCATTGCTTTAAATTTCGTTCACTCATTTTTGTCATAAATACATAATTGAGAAGTTGTGTATGAAGCCATGAATTCTTAACTCACCTGTGCTAGAGTCATTACTGATTCAAACTGATATTCTATTAATACATATTTGCTCCTCTCTGTGAGATCCTACGTTTCCTCCCCACGTGACTCCGGCACAGTATACGGAGGGTTAGTTTCCTTTTTTTTAGTAGATTAAATTTATTCGCGCGTTGATCGCAATACTGTCAGCCATGAAAATTAGATAATGTCAGAGAATCTTAATAGGTGTACAAATTAATGCATCACCTTCATAATTAATCGTTCGAGACGTTATTTTGCATTAAAATCTTTTATTCATCGTGTCAGAGACTCATTAGTTACTTGCAAGATGACGCGAATATTACAGAAAGTGATGGAGATTAATTTCAAGAGTAGAACGCATCTCGATTGTTTCTAAGTAATGAATTTTACGAATTGATTTATATCTAGTGTTCAATAAATCGAAGAAATTAGTATTTACGACAATAGCTACACTGCGGATTTTCATGTATTTCTGTAATTTTTATGTCATTTTTACCGGAAGAAATATTCTAGTTGGAATTAAAAATTATTATTTATTATTTATTATTTTATATTATTTTATGATATTATTATTCTATTTATTATATTATTATTTTATAGTATTTTCATGTTCATAAATTAGCTTATGAAGATACACGATCTAGTAATTACTCTCTGAATTGTTTTGCATCTCTCAGATCGTATGCAAATTTGGTACACTCGATAACGACCTTTTTTATGACAAGTATACTCGTCGAAAAAAGAAAATGTGACACACACTCACACACGCACACACCCACATACACTTTTCAAAGAGACTGCAACAGGTAACTTAATTAAATCTTATTATCTTCGCCAAAAAAAAGTTTCCAACAATACAAAAATATAACAACGGTATAAAACCGATCCATTTCCGCCAAAAACAATCTCGCGAGAAACTGAAAATATCGCTACGAAACGATGATTAATATTGATTCAACTAAACCTGAAAATGGAAGGCGAACACCTCGAATCGTCCGAAAAAATTGAAAATACTCTAGAAAACGCGATCGAGGACCGATTCGATCCACCACATTTCGCTTCGACTAAACTGTAAAACATCGTGTATACCATCTCCCAGCTTTCGCGGGAACAGTGAGATTTATCCCGAACGATTATGCAAATCGAAAAGTTGCGGATTCAGCTGGTGCGAGCACACACGTTCCGTGGTCGCAGATCAATCGGACACGTTTTCCCGATCGAAAACAATTACCACTCGGGCCCGGTGCAGGAAACACGGTCCCAGGTCCCTCGGAAATCTATCCAGAGCATTCCGCTTTCTAGATCGCGGAGGCCTGACAGGGTACAGATTCCCGTGCGAGACGCGCAATAGATTCCGCTGTATACGCGTGCAGTCCAATTTAAATTTGTCCAGAAGCGAAAGGATCTCCGGGTTGTCTTTTAACGGGATCGAATGCAAAGCAGCCGGTCGCGTCGGATCGGGTCCCGGAAGCACACGTTCTACCACGGGGCCCGCGCCATCGTCCCTGATAAATTTTCGTGTTTCTCCTCTCGGGTTTCAGGCTCTCGGCGCTGCCTAAGCCTCTCCCCGGGTTCTATCCGCGCCTAGAACCGCCGGCAAAACGGCGCGGCGATAATGCAACGATACCATAAGGCCTTGTGTCGGATTGAAACATTGCCTGAAATCTGTAACACAACCGGCGAGAAGGAAACGCGCGGTCGGCTCGCCTTGTTTCCCGGCGGTTTCGCCGAATCGTTCCATATCTGGCCGCGTTTCCTAACGGGACCGCCCGTCCCGGCTACGCGAAAGCATCGCGGGACCACGGCTATATACACGGGGCCCCCCCTGTTTTCGATGAATTTCGCGATACCTCGAAACTGCGTGCGAATGCATAATGCACCGCGGCCGATCACTCCGGCTGATCTCACCTGACAATAAATCAGCGGATGATACGCCAGACCCGATACCTTTCCCTCGGTAGATCTGCGCAGGGGATCTACGGGCTCGAGATCGGGACACCATTTTGTCATGGAACAATCGGCCGGATGGGAACAATAATGCTTGCCCAAGGGATTCTGCTCGGGCGCTACGCGATACGAGCGTTTCGGATTCGCTTTTTTAACACGTTCCGTGCCGAGCTTTTTCTACTCGAATCTTCACACTTTGATATTTTACTAAAACTTGATGTATTACGTGCAATTATTAATTCTCGTACATATAACAACGTAACAAAAACTTATCAACGCCCATTCTTGCGGTGGAAATTGATTCTTCGGTTCTAAATTTCTTGTAAACAATTTGTTCAGTTCACTAAGTAAACATGCAAGCGTGTACCATCGATGGTACACGTGGCACGGAACGTGTTAATCC